AGAGAGAGAGAGAGAGAGAGAGAGAGAGAGAGAGAGAGAGAGAGAGAGACATGCCCACACACACTGGAATATCATTAGTTAAAAAAGGAGATCCTTCCAGATGCTACAACATGGACAAGCTTGGCGAATAGTATGTAGTATGGTCGTGAAATAAGTCAGCCACAGAAAGACAAATATGGCATGATCCATTTCTCACATGGGGAATCTAAAATAGTCAAGCCACAGAAGCAGAGAGTAGAGTCACGGGAGCCAGAGCTGATGAGGGGGAAATGGGGAACTGCTGTTCAAGGTAAGCAAGATGAGTAACTTCCAGCAATCTGCTGGACAATGCTGTGTCTATGGTTCACAGTATTATGCAATTAAAGATTTGTTAAAAGGATGGGTGTCATGTTAAATATTCTTACTACAATAAAAAAATAATTTAAAAATAAGCTGAAGACTAAATGTTCTCAATCACAATCATTTTATAATCATGTAGCATCTAACAGTCACACACCAAGAAGCTGATAAGCTGATGTAGACAACCTACCTTGCGTATTTCAAACGGTCTCTATTTCTATCCACATTTTAATGGATACCTACACCAATTAATGTCTAAGCTAGTCTAATAAATCCACCCACCCCCTCGACACACATAACCACTGTTGTCCTGGTATCATGATAAATTCCCCTGGCACAGAATTGTTTGTTGCTTAACAGAGAAATATGGTTCTTGCCCTAAATGTGAACAGTTTGAGGGGGCATTTGTAACAGAGCCCAGTTGCTAACACATTCCCACTTGCCAGTTTAAACCACAAATTTACACCTTACTTCTACCAATTTCAATTTCAATTTCCTTGCTCTGAGGGACAGATTAAGAACTGAGGAAGTAGCACTTCTAATACAAAGGGAAATCAAAGGAAAATCCCAGCAGCTCCTGCACTCTCTCAGGTACTCATCCTTCTGTACCAGCTCGAGCCCACAGACCAGTTCCCATCTACGCTACCTGCTGTCCTCTCAGCTTGAGGCTTGCACCACAGGTTTGCCCTGGAGCAAGGGGGGTGGTGGTTTGTACTAGACAAAAAAGGATATTGAATTTTGTCATAACATTTCATATTAGGAAAGCTAAAGTATTTCTAAAATAGAATTACAGAATATAACACTTAGAGAAATAGTCTAGCACACTATACTGAAGTCAAGGACTAGACAAATGTGAGCCCCATGCAAGGTATCCCCACCAGGGGACCGAGCCAGGTGGTGGCTGCAACCTTCCTTCTCTGCTACTCACTCAGCTTTGCCCCTTGTCCCCATGACCCTAATGGAGAGTATTCTGGAAATGTGGGACTGACACACAGAGGTTAGGTCACGGGGGGAGTAAGCTGGGAGGGGGACAGGCCACTGGCAGGCCGAGCCCACAATGGGCTCACGGTCTAGGGTCTCACATGACTCTTGCCATGTTACTGAAGTCATGTGGGCAGCTCCTAAGGGCCACGAGAGGGGCTCATAGGAAGATCAGACAACTAAAGCTCAGATCCACATTTCTTTCAAGGGATCAACAAAATTAATTGTGGGTAATTACTTTTGGTCAGGGGAAATTTATAGATTAAATAACTAGAGAGAAGGGGATAAAAAGGTTCTTGTTCTAGCTGAGTACTCCATCCACTAAAACACAGGATGGCAACAAAATGCTCAATTACGGGCTTTCTAAAGAGCAAAGTAATACTAAATAATTACGGTCTATGTGTCGGGCATCCCGTGGGCTGTCAGAGAGATGAAGTCCTAAATTTCCATCCCTTTGCACAGGTGCATTTGATAGCTGAGGTTGGTTCTCCAGTGTCCTTCCCTGAAGGACAGCTGTGCTGGCAGCCCCTCTGAGGTTTCGGGCACTGACCGCGCTTTCCACCCCCTTCCCAGGCAGCCTCAGTGGCCCTTCAGGACAGAACGAATGTGTCACGCTCCTTTTATGTCACTGGCAATGTAGAGAATGCAGTGTGGACTCAAGGATGTCATGGCTGGAGAGGCACAGAGGGTGCTCGGTGCCACAGGTGTCTAACAGACGTGAGCGATAACAGACACACCTGTCCAGAGTTCAACATTTTCATTCAAACAGTCTGTCCCTCCATCAAGTTTTCACTCAGTTCTTCTCTCTCACACTGTGTTTTCATAATGCAGAGAAATAGCTCTTATCTTACTTGAATTAGAATAGCACTCATCCGTTGTCTTGTCAACCAAGGTCTGGGATTCTTAGCTCTGTATCAAAACGGACTGAGGGAAAGAAGGTGGTGGGGAGGAGATACACCAAGCTACTTCTCAAGGCTGGAGGTAAATTACATAGGTGAGGATACTGGTCAGATGAACCCACAGAAGCTGAAAAGGACCATTCCAACAATGGCTCAGCTTTAGAAACCCACTGCAGCTTCTGGTGCACAATGGGGTGAGCAGGGGAGCAAATTTTTCATTGATTAACTTAAATTAATGATGTATTTTTGCATTCATGTAGCTTTAGATTCAGGTTCATAAAGAAACTTGTTTTTAAATAAAATACAATGCCCAATTGTAACTGTTTATTATGAACTAAAGAAGAGACTAAAGAAGAGAAATCTATAGGAAGGAAAATGTTTTACCCCCTAAATGAGGTTAAAACAGCCCCCTAACTGACTGAACAGCTCAGCACCCACTACCCCCAGTATTCCCAGTTCAAGACAGTTTTAGGAGGTGGGAAAGAGGACAGGCGTTCACCCAGCTCAGTTCCCTGAATGCACCTACTCCCAAGTGGGAAGCGACGGGGCCACTCTGAATAACTCCACAACTTCTCTGGAATCTTGGCTTTCAGAAAGAAAATGAGAACAGAGCTATTTCAAGACATTAAGGTTATGTATACATGACACTGGTTGGATCATCAAATCAACCAAAATAAAAGCAGCCCCCAGTTCCCGCTAATGGGTGCCTCTGAGGTGGGCATGAGCCTCACGCTCAAGGACCAGAGTAGCACCCAAGTGTCTGAGGAGTCAGCGCCTTCTGCCAGCGGCTCCAAGGACTCGTGCTGGAGCCTGGGAAGGCGAGGGTGGGTGGAAGGACCCTCCCATTCCCATGCTGCCCTCCCTGCTCAGGATCCTAATCTAATGAGGGGGCCCCATGGGCTCCCTCCCAGACCTCAGGGAGGAATCCTTCCACTCTCTGGGCTGGAGCTGTGGGAAAGGACTGGCTCTGTGACCTTTCCCAGCCCCTCGGCATTGCTTGGACAGGAAGGCTGGCTGTTTGGAGGGAAGACTCTGCCGAGGCTGGAGAAATTAAGGCAAAGACATACTGGAGGAGGCAAATAGCTACATGAGCTTGGACATTATGGGGGTCTCAGCTACCAAGCCAGAAACTATGTATTTTCAGTTTAATGCACATGTTTATTCACCTATCCATCCACCATCCGTTCACCTACCACCCATCCACACACCCAGAGCCCCATCCATTCATCATCCATTTATCATCTACCTGTTCACCCACCCACATAGCCCCCATCTGTCCATCCGTCCGTCCATCCATCCATCCATCCATCCATCCATCCATCCATCCATCCATCTATCCAACAAATGCTAAGTCCTACCACAAGCAGTTCCTCGCCTAACACACTCAGAGGTTGCTGGGACCTACTGAAAAAGATGCTGTAGTTGCAGGCTTCTTTGCCTTTAAAAATGCTGGACACAATGTTTGCAACAACCCCTAATTCAAACCCATCCCTGCTTGTCCATTTGGCCAAGTCTCGTCTGTCCCTCAAGACTCAGCTCAGGGGCAGCCTGCTTGGTGTAAATGCCATGATTCCAGCTCTGTGGGTCCTCAGCTGGTGAAGCCACTACATCTTGTCACCCTTGCAACAGCCAGTGACCACACGGGGTTGACATTACTCACAGGACACCTCCTCACTAAACTCTGGGTTCTTTCTGACCAGGACCACACATACCGTGTCCACGTGTGCCCTGTGGGTGGCACACAGTGGGCTATCCAAGAACATTTGCTGAAACATTGAATGAAGGAAGGAATGAAGATCAAGTGGCAGCTGCCTGTTTTCTCCTCCTTCACCAAGTACTGATCGCCACGTCAGTGTGCACCTGGCTGTGCTGGGGCTGAGGGCACTGCTGTGGGTGGGATGTCACAGAAGACCCTGCTGTCCTGGTGCACCCATGAGGACAATTTCACAGACAGCATGCATAGCTAGAGACCAGCCCTCAGGGTGGCCGTGAGGCATGGGTGAAAGACCCTCTGACCGGGGGCAGGTAAGGTGACAGGGCTGCACCCAATGCTGTGGCAGGGGAATGCAGAGATGGTTCAAGGACTGAAGGAGACAGCAGGGGAGGCTTTAGAGCCACTGTCAGCAGATACCACCCTGTGTGGCCGCTCTTTACACTCATTTTATTAACCTTGTGCTTGTTTAGGAAATCTGTGCAATGAAAAACCAGGTGTCAGGAGGAAGCCCCAGACAGCACAGCTTCTGGTGGTTCCCAGGAGAAAAGAGTGTGATCAGAGGCCTTAACACAGGCAGAAGTGGACCACTGCTGACTGTGGATGTGTGGGGTGGCTTGGCAGGCTCTGGAGGGTTGCCCTTGAAAACTGTCACCTGGAGGAAGATCTGTGGTATGATTAGAGCCTAGTTCCTGGGGGGCTGTGGCCTTCAGACTCTGGGAGGCAACCTGTCACAGTGCCTAGGGACCACGGTCCTTATGGGGCTCACGGGAATGTTTTAGTTTGTTTTAAATCAGAAGAGATAAATGAATATAATCCAGCTTAGGTTACATTTGTCTTTATACTAGTGCAGTTGGCAGATACAATTTGTGATTTTTATGTGTGTGTGCAGACACATATCTCAGCCACAGGAGCTGAGTGACCTACCCAAGTAAGGTCTTCCAAGGCCCTTGAGGTTGCAGATCTTCCCCAGATTACTCAATCCACTCACCTGGACAGGGCAAAATGTTGCATTCCTGGTATTCCAGGGACGGTCCCAGGCAAGGCAGGCCCCCATACTTGGGCTCAGGGTTGTTGCAAACACGCTTCCGGTTCCGAATGCCCCTGCTGCAGTCGCGGCTACACTGTGACCACGATGTCCAGGCTGACCAAGCCCCGTTGATGGTGTGGGCAGAGTACCTCCCAGCTCTCAGGAAATCCCCAGAAAGGCCTGCCAAGGAAATGGCCCACGTGTGATTCTGTCAGGCGTTCTCAGGGAACCATGGTCCATGCTGACTTTCATTCGGTATCAGCTATCAGCTTTATTTCTGTACCTACATTCTGAAAATCATTTGAACGCTTTTTACATTTCAGAAGCTAAAAAAAAGTGAGTGATAATCTCCCATAACTCACAGCTTCTTTCTCTGCAGCTGCTATTAAATAAAGGTATAAGTAAGATCTCAGTGTGTGCATGTGGCAAAGCCCTTGTACAAGTAAGGTCTTATGTTTGTAGGTCACTTGTTTTTCTGAGAAACTTCTTATGAAGAAAACACAACTTTCTCACTTCTCCTGGGAATTCTATAGCAGCCTGCTCTTGTGCACAAAGGGACGGTGCTCACCACTGAGCAGATTTATCTGGAAAAAGGGAGGCATGAGTCATATATTTTCAAAACCTATTCCTTCACCCTGAAGCTTTCAAAGTGAATTAAGGCTGGTGAAAGGTGTGGACTTAACTGCTTCTGACTCACAGGCTATGGAGATGCCATGTATCTGCTCTCAAACCAGGCAGGGGGTGGAGCTCATGGCCAGGAACTGGCACATCCCTGACTGGCCTGCCATGTGGTAAACACTCCCATGCCATTCAGAGCACACTTACTAGCGAAACCTGTCTCCCTAGGAACAAATGGAGCAGCAGCCAGTTGCAGTCAGTGGGGTGGGGGCTGCCCTGGTGGAAGCAGGCTTTGAATATCTACCGTGTGTCAGTCCACTCTGAGCACTTTGCACGTTAAATCATTGAATTAACAATGGTCAGAATTCCTGCTCATTTTGATGAAAATGCCGACTCACTCACAATATTAAAAGTATTCAGTAGTTTTCTCAAAAGTAGACAAAGGTTTTAACAGGAAAACTCTCAAAATACACAATGACATCCAGGGGAAGGGTGAGAAGGCAAACTGCCCACAGCTCTACCCACTGTTAAGCTCCTTTGCTGTTTACCTGCAAACTGTGGCTTGGAAACTAAGGCAGGATGCTCTTCAGGGAAAATGGGTTAGAGATGTCTTTCTGCAATGAACCAGCACTTTGTGATTAATCAATAGGAAGAGCTTTGCACAGTGAAGCCTCAGGCAAAAAAGTCCAATTTTGTATTTTGGAGATATCACTACCAAAACATGTGGATGGTCCTTAGAACTAGAAGCCATTAACATAAGAAGGATGAAGGACTTGTAAGGCCACGTGCATGTAGACTTTTGGAGGGAATATAAATGAGTATCAAATTTTGTCCTTAGTTTATATTACTCTTATTTAAAACATCTATTAGCTTTGGTTTTCTATATATCTGATAATGAAGAGATTAAAAAATATGTGTGCAGAAAACAGAATAATAATAATACATAGGGAAACATTTCTCTCTTCTTTACTTTGACCTTTACCTTAAGAAGGAAGACCACTCACAGACTGGCCTGAAATCAGGGATTAAGTGAATGAACTGGAGACAACTTGCCAGATTCAACAAATTAATGTAGGAAGCCCAGTTAAATTTGAATCTCAGATAGACAGCAAATAGTATTTTAGGATAAATAAGTCACAAATATTGCATGAGATACACTTATATTCAAAAAATTCTGAAAATTATCTGGAATTCATATGCAACTAGGTATTTTGTATCTTACATTGCAATCTTAACTTGAGATCATAGTATTATCTCTCATGGAATACAAGATCTTTAAAATGGGTCTTCTGTTACCTATCTCTCGGTATTCTATCATGTATCTTGTCTTCTCATCAAAGCAGGATTTTATAGAACTAATCAGAGTGAATATCATTTTGCTCTATTTTCTAGGTTGGTGGTATTTACTTGTTTAATTTAAACTGTTCACACAGTCATGCAAAACCCTTCACTAAAACAGTTGTTTTTTTCTTCAAGAAACAACCAAAAAGTTTTTATAGTTGAACTATAGTGAGCAGAATGGTCTGAGGTCAGGAGATAGTTAATGTCAGTGAGAACAGTACAATGAGGGGTGGACCTTGGCACCTGTGGGGCCTCCAAGCATCTAGGCTGGTAGCTCCCAGGAGGAGGCCTGCAACATTCATGCCCCTCACAGGGTCACTCCATGTAAGAGCTGTCCTCCAGAAATGCAGGAGATTTTTCACACCTGATAGGTTTATCCTACTTGTGCTGGCCCAACATGGTGACTCGCCAGCTCTGTGGTTTGAGGCCATCCAGTCTGGGTCTAAGATTCCTCTAAAAGTGACATTGCTGGTGACTGCTTTCTAGATCACACTAGTGTTGGAGAATAAAGTAGAATCATAAACACAAAAGATCTGAGAAATACTGGAGGGGTCTGTTGTAGGACATTACTATCACTGTTCTCATCAAATCGTGCTCCAAGAACCATCTGTGAGCACTTATTTTCTTTTCAGAGCTGGACAGATTTTATCAAATTAGATGAGAGTGATAGTAGAGATGAAGAAAGAAACAGAAAGAGGCTCTTTGTGATGACCAGGTTCACCGCTTTTCCAGCAGTTAGACAGCTAAGCTCCAGGGAGAGCAGGTGGACTGCCCGAGGAGAGATGGCCATTCAGTGGCGGAGCTAGAATCTTCCAGACAGAGGGTGGATTTTCTGGTCTCCCTTAGAGCTTCCTCCACATTGTTAATATGTCACTGAAGGGATCATAAGGATGGAGAAATTCAAAGACTCTTAGAAGATCCTCACAGGCTGTACTTTTTGGCAGTAAGATCCTTTGACAGATATAAACACAAGAGATTCACTTCCGTTGTCTGTGTGCAGTTCTGGGATGATTAAAGGAAAAGTTTATTCCCTGCTTACATATTCATGCTGGAAGATTTATGGAAGATCACTGAGCCTTCCTCAATATATTTTCTAATAATGAATTTTCCGCAAACTTTTCTGGACCTATTATAGTGTTATTTTCAGGAGTGAATTCACAAGACCACGCCAATATATGACTACATTTCTGTAGTAAATAGTAGTAATTTTCCCATCAATTTGCTATAAAGCCAGCTCTGCTGTGGAGGGTTCATTGTTTTGAAGATTGCTAAGCCAAAATAAGCAAGAAGGAAAACTCCCCCTCGCTCCTCCATGACCTCAGGGATGAGATGGACAGCTGTCTGTGGAAGGGGTCCGTCCCTCCGGAGTCGCTACTCACCATCTGTGGAGCAGCCACTGGTCCCGTCACTAGAGCAGTAGCGCATTTCGATTCTCTGTCTCCCCACCTCCAGCAAATTCGGGTCAGGCAGGCGGGCTTTGCACGTGTACCGAAATCGCTGCTCGTAGTGACCACCATTGTCAGAGATGTTGACGGGCGTCCAGGGTGTCCAGGGTGTGGTCTTTTTCAGCTCGGGGCACGGGCTGGTGTTACAAGGCTGGTACTCCTGGGAGAGAGAAGGCATCAACAGTGCTTCTCGAGTGGCGTGCACAGCACTGGCACTCCCGTCCTTTAGCGAAAGGCAGGGCTTTCTAGAGACTCATATCCTGACACCCCCAGCTACTCTACGAAGTGAGAGACATATTTTTATTAAATTCAGCATTTAAAGAATGTTCAGTCTTCAGGTCAACTCCAAAAAAATATAGTTCCTCCTGCAGCCACATGAGAATGAGACAATAAACATATTAGTACGTGAATAAAAATGCTGAGCTCCTAAAAATCATTGTCCTTTCATTTAATAGGTAACCAACAATACTATTTCAATATTAAGTATGGCTATTGTTTAATTAAAGTTAAAGTGATGGAACCATAGCTTTTTTTTTGGCCACATAATGTTCAGTTTGAGATGAGAGAGTATTTTAAGCTCTGGGGGCAGTGCCAAGTGTTAGACTAATAGGGAAGTGAAAACACAATATGCAATAACCTTTAGTCTATAAGAAGTTTCCACAGGATTTCTCTGGTTAATACCATGATGGCATTTCTCGGTTTCTCCTCCCTTCCCTCACTACCTAGTTCCTCCCTTGTCAGCACAGGTGGGAGGGTCCTGGGAACTGAGCAAAGAGCAGATCTGAAGATGTAGCATGGTGTGTGTTGTGGGTGTAGAATTTGGGACAATTATTAAGATCCCTTAAAGGTTTATTTGACAAGAATTCTAAACAGGGCCAAACAGAAGGTGTACAGGATTTGGTACTTTAGAGGGAAAACCCACAACACATTATAGAGGCAACTATGACCACACTTTTAAAATGATTCTTATCAGTATAAAATATACGTGTAAAATAAGAGCTCAATAGATCTGTAAGCTTTATTATGAAAAAGAGAACAGCTCCATCCTTCCACCCACAAAGAGATGGCTGAATATTCTGGTGTTTCTCCCGCAGAGTTGACAGCTAGGATTTTCCAGTACTGAACGTTATTCATTAACTGTGTGCTATGGAAAAAGAGGATCTGGCTCTCTACTCCCCCTGCCCCCCATGTCTACAACATTGAGCAGCATTCCCCTTTCTCATCCTCTCAGTACAGCTGTACTTGTTGGTGAGATCACCTGGTGGTCGCCAGGTGAGCAAGACCTGCAGCTGGGGGATGTGGCAAACCGACCAATTTCTGTTTCCTATCTGGTTCCCTTACAGTCCAAGTCAGGGCTCTCCTGTGTTAGGGGTGGTTGTTTAGTTTCTTTCTGGGAACTCATCATTAATTCACTCCCCTCCTCAGGTACTCAGACACAGTAAGAAGTATTCTGGTTTATGCTTTGAAAAAATATTCCTCTGATATTGCATTACTGAGTTTCCAGTAGGAGAGAAAATGGCCTCGTATGTTGATACCGCCAGCTCTATCCAGAAGCCCATTAAAATCTTTATTTCACTATTATTCTCATTATTCTATTTTTCTTTGCTCATAATCCATCTTTGAAAATTTTTTTTACAAGAGACAATACCCAGGAGTTCTTCTTATGTGTGACATCATAGGCTTCTAACACAAAATCTGTAAAGAGAGCTTTACTGCTTCAGTGACTTAATAACCCCCTCTCCCCCACTCATATGGGTCCTCATCTCCACATCAACACATCCAGGAAGATGCACGACTTTATTTTCCTTTGCTATAAATCTTTTATTACAATATCACTTGGATGCTGCCTCCCAAATGAAAAATAGCCCCCGTGACTGCCTAAACCCAATTGTGTGAAAACCAGACAGAGCATGCTTGAGCCGTCTCTTCCTCTCTTGAAGTGCAGGCCACATGGCAGGGACATAATAAAGCCTTGCCTGGGATCTTCCAGCCCTGCGGTGCGCAGCCCTGTCATTCCCAGACTGAAAATGCCATATGCCTCTGTCCTCCCCCTCCTTCTGCTGTGCCAGCCTGGCCAGGCAAGCATCCAGGCACTCCTGAAGTAGAGTCAAAACATATGTGATTTATTGACCTCTGCTTAAAAAAGTGCACGTCTTTAAGTATTAACAAGTTGGACACTGCCTGTAAGGTAGTAAGATCCCACATCTTAATAAAGAAATACGGGGGATACTCCCAATGATTCTGAGCTTCCTTACACTAGGCATTTCACCGTTCTGTGGAGGTGAGGCTTCATTTTTGAAATATGTAAGTGGAAAATAACATCTTAAAGTTGTTGGCCTCTGCCCGTGTTGGCCTCTGCCTGCTGGTGACATGCCTGGCGGGCAGGGGGTCATGTGCCCCAGAGGTGGCACAGCTCAAGATGAAAATTAATGCAGGCTCATTAGACCTAAGCCTCTCATAACAAAGTGTGTTCTTATTTTGTTATCTTCTTGTATAAAGTTTACCATGATGCCTGGAACTTCTCTTTTCCACTGTTTTTTGGGTTTGATTATAATAATTTGTTTAAAGTATCAAATTATGGAAGTTGTACCCAACGAGGAAGAGAAGTAAGAGGACAGGATTCCAAATTATATGGCCACCTCTGACCAAGACAGAGTAACAGAAATGGGGCTAACCCTTTTACCGAAAATAACTAAAAAAATAACTGAAGCAACAGTTTTTAAGATAGGAGACATCAATCAGCAAAGGACAGTGATCACCAAGTGATGGGACGCCCACAGTGAGCCCACAACTGACCCAGCTGACAGCCTTCATGGGACATCCTCGCTTTGGTGGAGCCAGGGGGACCCCAGGGACAGAGCCGCGACTGAGGGGAAAGAGCTGGGGATGCAGGAAGCCCAAGGGGATCGGGCTCTCAGAAGGACAGAGCTGCACAAAGAGAAAACTTCCAGTGTTATGCAGAGGTTCCCCCTCAAGTACTTGGCAGAGTACATACAGTGAGTGTAGGTGAGGAAATCACACACAGGCAGGGGAAGAGCAGAGGGAACTGTGCACATCACTCACGCAGGTCCTGGAGGCGTGCTCACTCCTAAGAGCAAGGGTAGAAAAACCTCATAATTTACCAAGCTTTGGCTAAAGGATCGAAAAAGGGCTTGCTTCCACAGTGCGGAAAAAATTCACCCAAACCCTGCTCTGGTCTCAACTAATAAAGCCTAAAAGCCAAACCTGAAATGACCAAACTTCTTTTTTTTTAAGTTGAAGCATAGTTGATATACAATATTATACTAGTTCCAGGTGTACAACATAGTGATCTGACAATGATATACATTATGAAATGCTACCATGATAGGTATACTTACTGTCTGCACCATACAAAGTTATTACAATACTACTGACTACATTCCAAACCGATTTCACATAAATTGACCATGTTCCAAAGGAAAGCTCTAGCATATTTTTAGGGACACAGAAGTGTCCAGTGCACAGCAAGGGAAAAAGTCACAATGTCTTGTGTCTAATTTAAAATTACCAGATATGTGAAGAAGCTGCTGAAAAATACAACCTATTTTAAGGAGAAAAATCAGTCAATTGAAATAGGCACAGAAATGACATGGATGATAGAATTTGTATTCAAGAATATGAGAACAGCTATTATAACTGTATTCCCTATGTTCTAGGAGAGAAAAACTGAATATACATGGACGATAAGGAGAAATAAAATAAGCTATACAACATTTCCAGGTAAATGAAAAGGAGAGATTACATCTCAAGTCATCCTATGGAGCCAACTTTAATGTGATACAAAACCAGATAAAGACAATAGAAGGAAGGAAAACTGCATGTGAATATTCCCCATGAGCTTAGATATAAAAATTCTTATTAAGAATTTAATAAACAGAATTCCAAACTACATAAAAAGGTTATTATCTCATAATTAAGTGGATATTATATCAGGGCTGCAAGGTTATTAACATTTGAAATTCATTCATTGTAATTAAACATAAAAACAGTCTAAAAAATAAACACACATGCACACACATATATATATGTAATACCTCAATAGACATAAAAATATCATTTGTTAAGATCCCAAATTCACTCCTCATAGAAACTCTCTATCAACAAGGATTAGAAATAAATTTCCTAAACAGAAGGACATCTACTCAAAATATACAAGCAACAAAGTATCTCAGCTCATGACTCAAGCTGGCATGCTCTCCTCCTAAGGTCCGAAAAGGTAGCAGATAGGGATCTCTGATCCTACCACTTCTGTTCAATACTACACTGAAGGTTCTAGCCAGTGAAACTTGTAAAGAAATAGAAATAAAAGTCATTATACTGGAAAAGAAGAAGTAATTATCTCTTTATTCATGAACAACATGATTGTGTATGTAGAAAATGCTATATAGATTCTACAAAAAAGCTACCAGAAGTAACATGAATTTATCAAGGTTGCAGAATACAGATCAATATAAAATATTAATTTTGTTCCTGTCTGTAGCAATGAGCACTCAAAAATTAAAAGAACGCCATTTACAATAGCATCAAAAATATGAAATACTTAGCAATAAATCTCACAAAATCTATGCATGACTTACACACTAAAGGAAACTGAATCCCCTAAATGAGGCACAGAATCAATACAATCTCAATTACAACTCCAGAAGGCCTCTTTTCTTTTTGGTAAAAACTGATAAGGTGGTTCTAAAATTCACATGGAAATAAAATGCACCCAGAATATCCAAAAGCATTTTGGAAAGAAAGAACAAAGCTGGAGAATTTATACAACCTGACTTCGAGAGTCATTATAAAACTACAATAATCAAGACACTATGGTGTTAGCATTAAGATAGAAAGACTGAGCAAAGGAATTGAGTAGAAAGTCCAGAAATAGGCACACTTGTAGACAGTTTATTTATTTTTGATTAGGGGGCAAAGGCAATTTGGTGGAGATAGGAGAGACCTTACAGCAAATGGTGCTGGAGTAATGGGCTATCTGCATTCAAAAACAAGAACTTTGATCAGTAACTTGGTCCATCTATGAAAATAAATGTTAAGTGGATCATAGACCAGCTACTAAAACCATAAAACCAATATCTAAAATCATATAAGACCAATCTAAAACCATAGGAGGAAAGATAGATGGATAGCTCTGTGCCC